AAAAAATATTCAAATAAAGTTTATAAGATCAAGAAAAATATAAAACTAATAAAATTTACTAAACCCTAAAATAAACTTTAAAATTCATCATTAAATCCACTATTACATAATATAAACCCATATTGAACAAACAAAACAAAATAGAATTCGAACTTTCACCCAAAATTTAAGAGGATTTCTTGGACGATGAAGCACATGATTGCTGATCGAAATCTTTCAGTTAGACTAGGCTAACTATCCTTTCCTACCAAGTAGATCAAGGACTATGATGACTTAAGATAATAGCCATTAGCATCTTGACTGGATATAATCATCGTTTGCCCTCACTTTTCACTCACCAATTGTAGACACCATAGGATCGGCCCGATGATGTTTTTTTGTTGTGCGTGAGTTTCCTCTCTAGATGATTATTTAGGACAAAAAAATTCTTTTTTTTTTGTTTATATATCACACTCCTGTGGCATTCTAATTTAGATTATTGTAGATTAACTTTACATGTTTCTAGGTTGTCCTTGTGAGTTAAGATGTGCTAACTTTATTTTGTATGGTTGTTGTAGTGTAATTTAGGATGCCATAGTAAGGTAGGCTTTCTTTATTTATGTGTCTTTTCTCTTTTTAGAGTTAGGTTGTTTGTCATGGTAGCTCAATCGTTGGAATTCTAATCTTCGAAGAGAAGGGAAAGACAAAGCAAATGATGAACCCAAATAAATAAACAACAATGTTCGGATGGCACTTTTGACCGACAAGTATGATATAGGTATGGGATTGGTACCCTTCTATCATTTTTTTTTTCCTTCTTATATTTTTTTCTCTAAGTTTGAACAAAAGTTAAGTGGGTGTTTTGATTGTTCTTTTTGCCTAGATTGCTATTAAGTTCATTAAGGATTATATTTTTTATCAAAATAAATGAACTTTAAGTTAAAATTTTCAAATTTTAATGAAATTCAAAACCAAAACAAAAACTAAAAAACTACACAAAACATTGCATTCACAACCTTAAAAATATCATGCATTTAAAATAATTAAATTGACATTAAATAAAATTGATTACTAACGTCTTTCCTATTTAGAGATAGCCATGAAACGATCACTTAAGGCATAAAACATTCCATTTTGCATCTAGTCTTTATTTTTAGACCCTCACTCATTGCACCAAAATGGCCGACTTGTCCTTTGAGAGACACTACCTTATACAGTGAGTTTTGTTGTTGCATATCAATTGATCATATAAACAAACTTTCTAAAACATTCATCATCAAGGACTCACATACCTATAAAGAACTTATTATAATCACTCATCACTAAGAATTAACAAAAAATAATAAAATGCAGGAACATGATGAGCTTTAAAATGTTTAATTCTAAATTATTATAATATATTCGCATTTATCTTAGAATACTATGCACACCAATCATACTTAGGCATAAAGCTGTAAATGAATTAATGTACTTGATTAGCCACTAGAACTCAACTCGATAAGATTCAATCATGTTTGTTCAAATTCGTTAATAAACAAGCATGAATAATTTCTTAAAATTCAAACTTTAAATGAAGTAAACATGAACATAGTCAAACTTTTTCATTTATGTTCAAGAAAAAACTCGTTTGTTGTTCAAAAACTTGTTAAATACTTGATATGAACCTATAATATTGCTCGTATCATATATAATATATTAATTTAAAAAACTGATTTTCTAGAATTTATTTAATTATAGATTTTATTAATAGTAATATGTTATTATATCAATATTATTTTTAAGATTAATTCATAATAATATATTTGTTTTATTATTAATTATTAACTATTTGAAAATTAACATGATGAAATTCTGAAAGTAAGCATTACTTTTGTTCATTCTTATTTATTATGCTTGATCTGACTACTTTTGATTGTTCTTAATTATTTCTACATTATTATGAGTTATTTTGTAATACTTGTTCCTTTAAATATTTTTGCTCTTACTTCAATATTTTTCTTCTTTTTCTTAGAATTCATTTTTTTTTAAAGTATATCTATTATTGAATCTAGATTATAACATGTGGGTTAGTTAGTTTGCTTATATGATTTATTCAATTATTTATTTATTTAGATTTGTAAAATTTATATTTTTAATATGAAAATCTAGTTACTCGTTTGAATTTTTTGGCTCATTTAAATACAAATTCACTTGTCATAATCAAATAATGTTTAAACATTGAAACTCTTAAACAAGTCAAGCTTAAACGATATGTGAAAGCTCGACGTAAGCTCAAGCAGAATGTAAAAAATTTATAAATGTACCAAGCCAAGTCCAAACTACGATAAAATCGGCTCAACTCGGCTTTATTACAACCCTACCTAGGTAGCTTGATATATCAATAACTTGTAAGACTTACTTTTCCTTACTATTCTATCTTGCATTCATTAGGGCCGGTCATGCAAGCTGTTACTGTATTTAGGTGATTTAGATGGTAGCCCTTTCCAAGCAAAGTTATAAGTCCATTACATTTTTGTTTGTTGTGTTCTTTCTCCTCCTTCAAACTATGTTTTTGAAGCTTCACTTTTTTTAGTGAGCTTCACTAATAGTCTCAGGATTTTGAGATTATTTGTCTGGTTACGACATAAATCTTTCTCTCCTAGGCTTTCTCATGGCTCTATACCATGTGATCTATATCCTACATTTCTTATAAAATGTCAAGATGAAGCATCAAAAAATCTCTTTCAGAATAATTAAAGTCAATCAATAAGATAGTTGAGATTTCATCGAGTTTCCCTCATCACTTTAGAGATCTCCTAGTCTTTTTCCATTGGATTCTATAAATAAAATATTTTTTTAATATTTTCATTTTGATATTTATAATAATCAATCATGGAAACTTAACCTTAAAATTTTCTTGAAGACAAAACTCTAACCTTAACCAAGAGTTTTCTTAAGTAGTTTTTTGTTTCTTAAGACATAATTAACCATAGAGATTTGCCCTTATAGGAAGTTTGTAACCTGAATTTAATCTAAACCCTACATAGTCTTTAGATAAGATAAGAAAAAGATTTGTCCGTTTTAATCGAGGATTTCACAAATATCTAAAATTTCTTAATTTAATTAATGGAACACATCATAAATTGGTCTTTCTATCTTCCAAGAAAGTATATTACTTTGGATGTGTGTTTATATATTTTGATAATTAAAAGTTTGAATTTGTATAGACCTAAAAAAACCCATGTCAAAAAATAAACCGACAAATTTATAATTTAATATTATTTTTTTGGTAAAAACTTAAAACTAGTTAATATAGACACTTATGCTTTCTACTTGTTGGCGGAGACTAGGAGACACTTATGTTCATGATTGACAACATATATATAAAGTATTCAACACAATAATTCACAAAATTAGTTTAGGCAAGTCGTAAATCAAGAATCCTCCCTCTCTATTTCTAATTTTCGGTCATTGCATAACTTAGACAAATAAGTAACTTTCAATATCATAAAATGTAAAATATTGAATAAAATTGAGGTTATAAAGTGTTTGAAAGTAACTTATACTAAAAATTTAAATTATAGTTCTCTTAGGAATGACACTGTATTCAATTTCAAATTATTTGAGGGGCAAGTATGGTTATGTATATTGCATAAGGCAGACAACATATCCTCATTAACTGTGTACACCAGAGCTTTTGGATTTCATGTTTCCTATCATTGACTTAACAACTTGGGAGTCATTAGCTAGGACTTTTCCCTTTGTTACTACAAACTAATCATCCTTAGATTTTTGGATGGTCAACAATAATAGTTTGCTATGATCATAGTACAATTATTGAGGTCCATTTATTGATCATATTGTTTGCTCAATCATTTGATAGGCTTACTTTACACATGATTACAAGATTGCAAAGAAGGGTTTTCTAAAGTAAAAAAAAGAAATGTGAGAAACTCCAGCCATAAATTAAATAAATATATAAGGGGCTGCCAAAAAAAAACTAAATAATTATTATAATTATGCATTTTTTCTATCTTTACTCATTTATAGAAGCATGCAACAACAGAAAAAATAAATAAATAATAAATATATTGAAAATATTGTTTCAATGGCATTTATTAAAGATGAGTTTGCATAGAATAGGATCGAATTGGATTAGACATTATGCAGCAAAACATTGAATATGCACTTGTTAAGGAAAAAAAAAAGAAAGTATTACCAAAAAAATAAAGAGAGGCATAGAATAGGATCGAATTGGATTAGACATTATGCAACAAAACATTGAATATGCACTTGTTAAGAAAAAAAAAATGGAAAGTATTTCCAAAAAAATAAAGAGAGATAAATGATAAAGCATAGATAAAATGCATAGAAATTCTTAGAAATAATTTATATAGAAAGTTCACCATCTTAAGAAGCACTCAACCAAAAATAAGAATTTATAAACATGAACCCAACTACTGATACTATATGAGAGAGTCCCCTTTGAAGCCTTGTAAATCAGTGGAAAATAGAAATATTCACCATTCATGACTTCAAAGCTTTTAGCCTCTTCTTCTCCTCTTTCTTTATTTCAATCATCTTCCTACTATAGATAGTCAAAAAATGAGACTGTTCCACTCAGATTTTCTTTTCAGCGACAGATAAAATCAAAGTTTGCATCTTTCACTCAATTTCTTTTTCAAAATTCGATCTTTCTCTTTTATTCATTCAGAATTAGAAAAAATGTTTTTGAGTTCCCAATATCTGTTACAAATCTCCAATCTCTCGAAGCACTGAAAGAGAGAGAGAGAGGGCAAGAGAGAAGACAAAATACATTTATTTTCAAACAGAGATCTTTTATTTAAATGACTCTTATTCATTACAAACTACAGATCCATTCAACATAAACAACATCAGGACCCAATATCACTTATTAAATTCACCGTTCTTAAACCTTCGCCTGAGCAAATTATATCGGCGATTCCTGCAGACAGAGAGATACAGAGAGAAAAAAAAATATCAAGCAAATATACATATTACATTCAACTTTATATCTTTTTTCACCATTTATAGTTCATATTTCTTCTCACCTCTGCGGATTAATGCATTCCGATGGCCGAACTGTAAATCTTGGTCCTTCATCGTAACCCTCACAGACTAGTTCACCTTTCTCATCTCTGTAACAGATTACACCAATCTCTCTATCCTCAAAAACCTGCTTTTAGAAAATCTAAAAATCAAATTTTTACAGAAGTTTCAGAATACAATTCTTCCTTTATCTCACCTGTTTCTCTAAGCTGATTCTTTCCCCGCGACTTGAAGAAACTTCAATCTTCAGATGACAGTTGCAGATCGCTGAAGTTCTCACAGGAGCCGAAGAATATGTTCCATTGATTGGAAACAGAGTATTGGCCGACAAAAATCTGATCGCCATGAAGTTTCAGAGAGGAGGAAGGAGCTGTAGGATAAACAAATTGCCAAAGGGATCAAAAGACTGGATTTTGGGTTCTGTTTATTGCAGCTTATGAGCTCATTTTGCTTTATTATTTTTTTAACAATTTTAGTGTCTTGTAGTTGATTGTATGGTTGAATGAATTTATCTTATTGGAGCAAAAATGATTATTTTAAATTTTTATTATATTATTAAGTTAGGGTGTGGAAGTTTATCATGTTTATTTATTTATTGTTTTAAATATGGAAGTTGCATCATCCTCATGTCTGTTACCTTGTCCTTTTGTCGTTTGTTTCAGATCGGGATAAGGAAAAAATTTTTCTTTGGATTGGGTATTTGGGGATTTACAAATATACCACCTTAATTTATGTATTTACATATCTAACACCATATTTTTTTGTTAGTTTTCTATCACCCAAATCTTGTATATCACAAAAAATATATATATATTTGATTTCTTAAAAGTTAAATAAATATTTTATGCATTGGTGAAAGTTCCATAGATATATGTATATATAATAGAAGTTTTGGAATTAGATATATAAACAGATAAGAATTGAGTGGTCTGTATGTAAATCTTCCTTTATTTTTATATTGAGAGACAACAAATGTGGTTATCAAATTTTACAACCTCATTTTAAATTTTCGCCTTTAGCAATCACCATTTTAACAGACGGGAAATATTTGCGTACGTTTGATGTATGCAACTTTGCATACGTCTGTGTCTATTAGGTTACAGGAAGGGTATTGAGAGTTATATCCGCGTTACACATCCTGTAACCTCTATGTAACATATCTGTATCCTACATGTAATTTAAAAACATATAAAAATAGAAGCGCAAAACGTACGTACACACACACAAAGAGATTATATAATTTCAATTAGAAAGAAAAAAACTTAAAAATATTAAATGACAAAAAGTAAATCAATGCTGAATATTACAAATAAAACAAAATTAAAGATAAAATAAATAAAAAAGTTCTAATATAATTTGTTTAATTTGATCATTATGAACTAGCCAACAATAAATTTGAAGAGGTTACAACAATGAAAAATGATAGCTTTTGTCCAAAACATTTGGCAATGTTTTGGCCGCTCCGGAGCTTTACAGATACAGCGAGCAAATCATAATAATAAAACTAACACAAAAATGTTATATATTTACATATTAACACATAATGAATGTCAAATTTTAGGTGTTAGTTATGCGAATGCACAAGAATTTGTTGGCATGTATGTAAATTTCCCAAAAATATTATATAGCTTCATCATACAAATGGATGTCACATTGTTGCAGTTAAAACTTTTTATTGTGATTTTTTCCGTGGAGAGTTCTAACTTTAATTTTGGTACAAATAAAGATGTTCTCCCTCTAGTCATGGGAATAATCACGAGGAAATTGAAATTAGAAATTACAATTTTAAAAAACTTCGAAGGTTTAGATACACACCACTTAAATTCTTATGAATTTACATATCTAACAGTTAACATTGTTGAAGTTTGATTGGTCTGTACCCAAGGAATAGAGTGCAAGGCAAGAAAGAGAGAGAGACAGAGAGAGTAATACACACTGACTTATCCATCTGGGGCAAATTGGAGTATTTAGGAGCTCCTATGGCCTTTTTTATATAATTGAATCTTTATGAATGCATGAGGAAAGAAATGGCCAAATGCCCTCCTTACATGAAATGATCCCCTTTTTATAAGGGATGCAGTACAATATGAACATATTACATTTATATCCCTACTTTAATGAGAGTTGCACATGTTATTTTGTGTATTTTATATATGTGGGGCAGTGGTTATCGGGCGTAATGGAAATTGGGGTACTCGCAGACCCTTTTTGACTCCTTTTATGTAATCGAATTGTTATGAATGCATGCCGGGGAGGGAGAGAAAGCTAAGAGTTTTCCTCACAAGAAAGGATCCCTCATTTATAGAGGATATTACATTTATAATTTTACTTTAATGAGAGTTGTATAAGTTATTTTATGTATTTTACGTATGAGGGCCGGTGATTGTCGGTCATATTAGGTCATCCAAGTTGTTGGTTATCCATACAACTGGTCGTCCAAACTGCAGGTAGCTATAGGAGAAGTTGCTATGACTGACGACATAACCGATTACTTTGTGCATTACATAGGTCATGTTAATTTCTCATGGCTTGGCAACATATAATTAAGGCAGTTAATTTTTGACAGAATTACTATTGCTGAACTTGTTGCTTTTGCAAAAAAAAAATTTCCACTGCTTATTCAGACTTACCAACTTTGAAAACTGTCGGTTCCTCTCTAAATAAAATCGACGGACTACAGTCGTCGGTAATTACCAGAGTCGCTTTTCTTAGGATTTGTATCGATGAGTTTTTTCTTATAGTTGATGGGTTATAATTAGTTGATGGATTATAACATTAGTTCTGATGTTATTATAAACTTACAGTTATTATATCATGACTAAACTGTCAAAAATCTTTCTTATTAGCTAATCAGCCAAAAAAACACCATTTCCTCTTTCTCCCATGTTCTCCTCCTTCTCTTGTTTAGATCTAAATCCTAACACCTCTGCTTCTCTTAATCCTCTTCTCCCAATTTTGGCCTTGCAAAACCTTCACAATGCAGTCACTATTAGAGTTAGTTGGGACGACAAAGACGAGATTGAGGCTTACAAAGACCACCAAAACTCTCATATTTATTTTCCTTCCTCTTTGCTCTCATAAGAAACCATTAAGGTATGCTTGTTTGTGTCATTCTTCTTTATCCCTCCTCCTGAACTTATCTCACTCCTCTCTTGGTTTCACCTTAAAACCCTTTTTCTTTGAAAACAGTCGCCATTCGAGCTAGCTAGGAAGAGAATGATGGGATCACAAACTATATAGACCACCAAAATTCCAATATTTCTCATCCTTCTGTTCTGCTCCTACCTAAGACTAGGGAGGAAGGTAAACCTGCTTGTCTCATTCTTTCTATTCACTTGTTTAGGGAAGCTAGTGAGGAAAGTAAGCTTGCTCGCGTCATTCTTCCTCTTCGCTTATTTAGGTATGAGATGTGAGAGGATATAAGAATTGTGTGTTGTGTATATAAATGTCTTCTACTTATTTAAGTTGACATGACAAAGTATTTTTAGGTCTACCTCTACCTTTCTTAACATAAGTCAAATCTAAAACATCTATTCTCTAGCTAAATCACCAACTCTTTCATGAATATATTTGTTTTGTGTTTTATCTCTAAGTAAAAACAGTTTAGGGTAAACCCTTAAGAAAATCCAAAAATGTAATTAGAATAAAATTAGTGCTAGATTTTATGGATTTCCTTGAGTTGGATAAATCCTGATTTTACTAATTTTAGCATTAAGGTGTTGTCTGACAACATATGATATTTAAGCTACTAAGATTTAGTCAATCCTATAAATCTAGATTTACTAAATCCAGAATGGGTTAAATCTCAAAAATTGTTGGGCACCTAGAGAAGTTAAATCTCATAAATCTATTGATTTGTAGGATTTACTAAATTTGGGCTTGCTTGAAAAAAAGGAAAGAAAAGGAGTAGAAGAAAAGTGAATTTGGATGAGCTGTGTGAAGAGTTGGCGTGAAGAGGGGAATTGGACCTGTAGGAGGAGTTATAGGGAGAATGGATCGCTGGAGGATTGGCGAGGAGGAAATGGTGAGTGTCAACGATCATATTCTTCTCTGAATTTTCTATTTTTTGTTGGAGGTGGAGTGGACTGCTTTTAATTTAGGCATTTATTTTAATAAATAAATAAGTAATAATTTAAATTAATAAATAATTTATTTAATAAATAAAAGTGGCTATGTAACTACAAATTTAATATCTACACTTTGCTTTTATATTTATAACACTCAAATCTTTCATATCACACCAAAAAATCGCCATTTTAGCTTTAAAGAAGTTACATGCATCTTGTTAATGTATAGACAAAAAAGAAGAGAGTGTAGTCCAAGCAGAATTGCCGCTCCAACATGTAGAGTATAAATGGAGGCTAGCAAGTCTTATTTTCTACATTAAATATTATTTTATATTAAATGTATGCTAACTGTTTCATTATAATGACAAAGTTTAGAGAAAGGATGAGAGTCTACCGCTATGGACTTACATGAGTGCACACATAGGCGACAGTCAGACCAGTTAACTCCCAAGCAACTAAGTTAATTCACAATATTAATTAGTATAAAATTCAAATAATTATCACTTTTTTTTGTCTTTAAATTTCATTAATCTTATTTTTTTAGGAGACATTTTAGAAGCTGAAGGGGAGCCAATCCCAACAATCAGGTAGTTGTTCAACCGACCATAGATCATGATCCTTCTAAATACGACCTGTGGAGGGAACTTATCAGCGACAAGAAGAAGGGTAGTGTCTACATTTTAGGGTCTCATGCGCTAGCCTATGATGCTCGTCCGACCTCTAGCACATCTGTTGCATCGACTTCTACTGCTCATGAGAAGGAGATTCGTTGGTAGGTTGCTATCAAGGTTGTTGCAGTTCTCCACTAAACTAGCCCAAATAAGATCAGAGATGGAGTTGAAGATGAAGTCAGAGATTGAAGCAATGCTACATTAGTTATGACAAAAATCAAAAAGCTAGTTTAGGATGATGATGAGGAGCAGGTGATGATGAGAGGATGAGTAAGGAGTTATTTTTTTCTTGTTTGTTTATATAAACAATTTATTGATCACGAACAATATTTTTTATGTATAATTATTCATTTTTTTTTGTTTGATGAAATGGTTTGTATTTTATTTCCATCTATGGTTTCTTTTTTAATTACTAATGTGATATTAGTTTAAAAACTTCTTCGATTAGTACACTCTACTGTGTTGTTTGAAAATTATAGTCTTATGATTACGTGTGAGTAAATTTTTGTGTTGAAGAAGGAAATTCATTTTTTGTTCTGATGCTACAGGTTTTAGATGGCTTGCCAATGGCTTTATGACCTTCCAGATGAGTTATGATAGTTGTTTGATGGACTATTGAATAAGCGACATCTTCCTAAGCTAAACTTTTCTGCCAGCTAAAATGGTGAGTAATTATCTATAGTCAACTGATGGATTTGTGTGACTTTTCAGGCAGAAGCATGCACTTTT